AATTATCCACCCAATAGTTTGTTTCCATCCTTTTCTTGACCCTTTCATACACTGAGGTGGGGGACCACTTGACAGTTTCCAGTTATAAGATGACTCTGAGTGTATAACCTAAATGGATGCCAAAGACTTGTGAGCTCTGCCTGCTTAGAGTAAAAAAACAAAAACAAACAAAAACCAAGCAGAAAGAGTGAGACCTTAATATAAGAAGTCACTTAATCTAGTATACAATATACATTAGGACAACAAACTCCACAGGATTTTATTTTCCTAAATACACATTTTTGGACATAATATTGTCTTGAGGTTTAAGTTTTCCCCCTTGGGTTATTATGCCTTATTTTCTGGTGAAAATAAAGGTTGTTATTCTAAGGATGTTTTGCGCAGGGATGAAATTTAGGGGAAATTCAGTGTTTGGCTGAAAATCCAGAGGCTCTGAAAACAAGGATTCCAGTGGTGAGGTAAGTTCCTTTATCACAACAGGACTTCAAAGGACTCTTTACCCACTTGTTCAGTGCAGTATTAAAACACACTTATTATTCCTGGTGGTAGCAGTTTCTTATTCTTTATTAATATAGCTAGTATTTCTTATCAATTAGAATCTATTACTTGTGAAAACTTCTTTAGCAGTTAGAAATAACACCTTTAAAATCCGAATCTTAAGTTGTATTTACTATAATAGTACCTTTTGACAAAAAAAAAAAGTAGCTTTCTTTTTGAAGTGGCTCATAAAAGCTAAATTGAGAAATTTTAAAAATATTAACTGCAATCCACCTACAACTCTCATTAAGTTATTTCAGCAGGAAAATTTCATAAAGCTGAGCTGAAGCAATAAATATAAAAATCACTGCTGTCAAAGGTAGAAAGGTATGAATGCGGATCAGTAAAAGGGGTACTCAGGTAAAATGATTTGACAGTGGTAGACTGCTTGCTTGTTCAATCCTTAACAATGAAAGTACAATTTGCTTTAATTTAGTAGTTCTATCCAATTTTTAAGAAAAGGATGAGCAAATTTTTCAGAAAGAGATCACCTTGCAACACTATAACCGTGTATCACCAAATTTAGTAAACACTGCAGTTAATTTCCAAGCAGGTTATGAATTTCTCCTAAAAATTGGGCCATTCCTTTTAATGAACTATAAATTATTACAGTTGTTTTTTTACACAGAGATGATGGTAAGATTGCTCTGCACCACCATTTGTATGTAAGTACCATCAACTGAATACTTCTTTAGTAAAAGGAACATTTTTCTCTGAAAGTTAACATAATCTGAACATGTACTGACTACCGTTAATAATTTCTCACCAGTCATATGCTCATGAATTCTATCATCCAGCCTCATGACTTAATCACAGAGATAGCAGATTGTCCTTTAGGCACAAGGGGAAAAAACCCCATAAAAACACAGAAGATGTATCACAACAAGGTAATCTCAAAAAAAGCAAGGGGTGAGGAAACAAATGTTTATACACAGTATTAGAAAAGATGATATTTACTGGTTTAGAGAAACTGATGGATTTCCATTACTTTTACATTTTATAAGGCTAGCTAACTTTAATAGTTAACTTTAGATATATCTACTTACACAGTACAATCAACTCACAAATACTAAAAAGTTCACGATCAAAATGGCTACAACTTCCCCCAAAACTAAAACAGAGTAAAGCACAAGTCTTTGGCTCTCCTTTGAAGAAAACAGCAGGTTATCATTCTTAACCAGACCTTTGTTTGCCTACCAGTAGGGCAAATACCACATTTGTGCATCACTGAGTAATAACACCATTAGAAAAGGCAACTTCACAGAAGTTATTGGCTAAGCGAATTCATTTGAATGCTCTGTTTTGAGGCAGCAAACTGTCACTGTTGCAGATTGGGGAGGGCAGTGGGTAAGTCAAGGGGGAACTGTAGGATGAAAAAGGGCCAGAAAAAAAAAAAAAGACGTTCATGGAAAAACTTATGATTAAACTTTGAGCTTAAAACCTGAAGACCTATGGAAAGTCTGATGGAGTTATATAATCAACGTAGCAGATGAGAAATATCGATTTTCTGTCTTTTAGGCAAAAAAAGTAAATACATGGGAAAGAATAGGAGAAGGGAAGGGAAATAAGATGGGAGAAGGGAATCACCTCACATTAATGCTGTATCAAGCAAATTTTTATACATTCTGAGTAGCTGAATATTTGTAGTTGGCATTAGGAATAGTGTCTATTACTATTTGAATAATATTATTAGAAACCTATGCTATAACTAATTTTTCCTTTAATTAGAAAAGTGTAAGAAGTGGATCTTTGGTCACTTCAGCCTCTGTAAATTATACAAGAACAGCTAATGGACTTATTTTGTGATAGTATCTATAAATTAAACAAAAGAACTACATGTAAAACAGGAAACTAAATTTAGATGCCTTATTTTCAGTTCTTCCACCTTTTTCTAGAAACCTCTTGAACAAAGAATAAGTCAAAGTACTTAAAATCCTCACTATGATAAAATCCGGGCCTGTTATTTAAGTAAGAGTAAATACAATGCTTATTACTCCTACCTTTAACCCTTTCAAAAGTGTTCATGTTCATCTGAGATATCTAATTCTTGCTTTTGAATTCAGTGAAAAACAAAGTCATCTTCAGAAGAAATTAACATTTTAATAAGTAGAAAGCATAAAAACAGTATTTTCCATTTTATTGGTTTCATTTCTCAACTGTCTCTAAGGAAACAAAATTTAGAAAGCAGAAAAAAAATCACTACCTTTTAGATTTTGATAAAAAAAGAAGAAAGACAATTAAAGAGTCCAATAGTTATGCCAAATAGGCTGTTTGATCTTATAGGCTGATCATATAACAGAGAAAAAGGAAAAAAAAAATAGTTTGGGGGTTTTAGCAAATTCTTAAATCTACTGGTGAACACTAGGAAAGCTGCAAAAATTTCCATTAGGTAAGGCAGAATAATCAATTTAAAATAGATAAATTATAGGCACATTGGGATAATATAGTATTCTTCTGCCTTTCTATCCAACCAGGTTATTTCTACAGTGTGGACCCTTGGAGGAATACAACTAGAATTCAGGATACAATTTAGGAATTTTTTCCCCCTAAAGAAAATGCATAAAAAGAGAAAGACATCTACACAGTGGCTTTTCTGGTTTTGTTAAGAAAAGTAATACGACATGAATTAATCCCTGTTCTGCTCCATGTCACAAAATCAAAATGGTGCAAGCAAGAACAAGTGTACCTGAAGGTAGAATATGAACAAGAGTAACAAAAATTGATATTAGGGATTTCATCAATAGATACCCAAAATGAAACTTCACTTTCATGCTAAACATCAACAAAGTCAATCACTCTGAGTTCCAAAGTGCTTCCAACATTTAGAATAATGTGACACATTCAAAAAAGTAAGATCTGCCCAAGTCTGCCTACAGAAGGTTGGAGGCTAACAATGTTGCCTTTTATTGTTAAGCAGAGAAATAAAAAATCTTGGGACTCTGCCAGACATACAAAAGTTTCTTTCCTTCTCCCAATAAACAATAAGAATTTAAAGCATAAATGTAGAAGGGTTTTAAGCAAAAGGAAATAAAAAAACATAAGCAATTAAAAAAAAAAACACAAAAGCATATTTAGAAAAAAGAAGGAAAATGTACATATCAACTGAAAAAATGCCTTACCTTCATTCAGTGCTTCCACCTCCCAATCAGTCATTTTATCGCAACAGCTGCGCTCATGCGAAAAAATCCTTAAAACATACCCAATATATATACAGATATAGCTATGTATATATGTATATATATAATATATATATAAATTTTTATTTAAATAAAAAAGAAAGCTCGAATCCCAAGCCAATATGTGTATATCAAATCCTTGACCAGCCAGGTCTGTAGGGCATAATCAAATTCAATGTGAAATAGTATATAAACATGGTGCCTTGACTGGGCAAATTAAATAATTGCTACTCAAAAGAGTGTTCTGTTTGGACTCTCCTACTGGTAGGCAATGGCAGGACTGTATTACCCTTCCCACCCCCACCCCCATTTGTTTCAGTTAACAGTATGATGGACACAGAGCTTAGACTGAGGTTATAACCTCAGCAGGAGTTAAGGGTTAAGAAAATAAGAAACAAGAAAAATATAAACTCTTGTTTTTACCCAACCAAAGCAATGCAGTAACTTATTACATAACCAGTGCTTTCTGATTTAGTAGTATAATCCAGAGAGAGAAACTGAAAATAATCTAGAATATAGAGGTATGGAGAAGGGAACTATGTAAAATGATCCCCACTAAACATGTTTTACAGGGCCTTGTTAAGCCGAGACACGTGGCATCAGAATATGTGCAGCAGAATTAAATAATAAAAAAGGTCTTCCTCTTTTCAAAATTCTCACGAATTAACATTTTCAATATTGGAAAGCCAAGTCTACAAAAACTGATGCCAAGGTATTTCCTACCTACTTATGCTGATGAGCTTAAGCAGCAACAAGTAATCAATTCATAAACTATGCGTCAGACTCAAGCAGTTTGTATTTGCAAATCTCTTTAAAACCAGGGGCTGTAGTATAGAGGGATTCTATTTTATACTTCTAGGTTTTGAGAGTAAAATAAAAACACCCATTCAAAATAATGTTGCTTTGTTCACTGTTATGGTCAAATGACGTATTGCAGTTTTATGACATGGTTTGACTGTCCTGGTTTTTGAGCATTCTGTCTTCAGCAAAAGTTTAATTTGGAAAGCACAGCTCCAAATTTCTAGCCATCAGTTGAACACAGGCAATACACCAACCATGGATTTTCAGTGCTAATTAAGTTCATTCTTAAAGTTATCTCCCTTCAAATCTAATCAAACACAGAAATTGGCTTTCTCATGACATTAAGAGAATACAAAAGATTCTTAATATGGAAATGGGGACTTCAAAAATTATCTGTAATTATTTATCTGAAAAGCTGAAAATAAGAAATAAAACTCTCCTAAAAAAACATTTCAATGTCATAAGAAAAATATATCTATCATTGAAGCTAATGATCCAGAAAGAAAAAAAATTCTGGGAAAAGTTGGTTTGCTGCACATTTTCTAATAACTCAGTTCATTGTTGTCTCTTTGTTTCTCAAGCACCACAGAATTCTCAGAAGAGCTGATGCTTTTTGTCTGTTTTAAGTTTATGGGGTGGTGAGAGTTGGAAAGGGTTGGGGGTAGGGAATTATACACTGGGTATGTAATAATACCAAAATACAAGAAAAACCTACTTCATTAAGATCATACAATTAATCAAACAGAGTGTATATATAATATCTTCTTTTTTTTAAAGCCCTGGATCCAAGGCGTCCAAAGTTATTAAAATAAAGTTCATTCACAGAACAAAAACAAATTTAATCTGAATTGCTTGCAGATACTGCTAATTTTCTTTTTCTTTAAATTAAAAAAATGTATTAATGTGAACTATGTGCAGGGTTTGTTTTTAGTAGTGGTGTTTGTGCACATTGCCTCTGGTACATTTCCTGGATTTCTCTGACCACTCTTAGAAAAAAAGTTTAGAAGTTATCCATTTTCCTACCCCTATGCCCTACAAATTGTTTAGGAGCAGAAGATAAAAGTACAACTCCTCATAGTTTAGGGAGCAGAACTGGGAGTAACTCCTGATTTCTGGGAGTCATTGTTATCTCCTCTTCCCTCCGGGTCCTCCGACAGGTTCAGAGAGCTGGTCTTGTTTGATAGGAGGCTGATATTCTCTTGTGTCAAGGCTGATCCATTCGGTACATCACTGTTAACATTTAAAAAAATGTAGTTGGAATTTTAATAAAAGAGAAAAAATGACTTATTAGCAGAATAAAATAAACAAGGGCCTATCATTTAGTACTATGGGAAAACATACACATGGCTTTCAAATTTTAATTTACAGCTCCTCCTGTTTTGGCATAGGGTATACATAACTAAAGCTAGCCAGTTGCCTATTATTTTTTATTTATTTTATTTTATTTTTTTGAGACAGAGCCTTAAGCTGTTCCCCTGGGCAGAGTGCCATAGCATCACAGCTCACAGCAACCTCCAACTCCTGGGCTCAAGCGAGTCTCCTGCCTCCGCCTCCCAAGTAGCTGGAACCATAGGCGTCCGCACAACACCTGGCTATTTTTTGGTTGCAGCCATTATTGTTGTTTGGCGGGCCCGGGCCAAATTAGAACCCGCCACCTTAGGTGTATGCGGCTGGCACCTTAGCCACTTGAGCCACAGGTGCTGAGCCTATTTTTTATTTTCAGAGACAAGGTCTCCTTCTGTTAACCTGGATGGAGTGCAATAATATGATTATTTTTCACTGCAGCCTTGAACTCCTAGGCTCTTGCCTCAGTCCTCAGATCCCAAGTAGCTAGAACCTAAGGTGTACGTTACTACACCTAGCTAATTTTTTTTAAAAACAGATGGGGTCTGTCCATGTTACCCAGGCCGGTCATCTCAAACTTCTGGCCTTAAGCTCCCAAAGTGCTGGGATTATAGGCATCCGTCTGGCTTGCTGGTTGCCTATTTTTATAAAAAGTTTTATTAGAACATAGGCCTGCCCATTTATTTACGTATTTTCTGTTGCTGCTTTCACACCATAGGGCAGAGTTGAGAGTTGTAATAAAGACATACCTTAAAGTATTTACTATCTGGCCTTTAAGAAAAAGTACTGACTCCTAATTTAGCTTATTTACTAGTATAAGAAACAATTTTGAGCTCAGCATAATGTATGGATTTAAAATAGCCAAAACCTACGCTTGAAATCAATAGACATTAGAAATTCTCATTGCACATCATCAGGCGGGCAACTCAGGACTCTACATTCAAAAGACACAAAATATCCTCAGAAAATAATTAAGGATGTGCAAAGAAAGAGGTGATTGTAATATTATTTATAGCAGAGTTGTTCACGGTAATTGATATGTACCCTTCCACACCTATAGAAGAATATATGACAGACTAAACTAAAAACTAGGGTAGTGGGTTTGTAAAAATCAGCAAGTAGCTAAATACCACAAATGCCCACATACTTTAAAAAGACTGAGAAGATACACACTAAGATGTTAATGTTAATTATCTCTGGGTATTGAAATTATAGGTGATTTTTAAATTTACCCTCTGCTAAAATTTTTAATTTTCTACAGCTTTTTTTTTTATATAACATATTTAAGATTGGGGGCTTTTATTTTCTGGGGTTTTTTTTGTTTGTTTGTTTTTACATTAAGCAGATATAGTAGAACCTCTGTCAATCGACCAGCTAAGGAACTGTAACAAACTGGGCAACATATGGAGGTGGTCAGCACAGGAACTAGGCTTGCTGTACTGATATGTACCTGTGGTGCATGTCTAATCTATGAAAATTAGTCAATTTAAGGTTCTACTGTATTTCCTTCATAATTTAAAGATCAATGGCTACATTTAAAATAAATTATGAAACAAAGGACAGAAGCAAATGTAACCAGAAAATTTCATGTGTTAGGTAGTTGATTTAAGTTTTATACTCCTAGATTTATGCAAAAATATTTTCTCAATGTACATAAAATAATGATTTTTAAAAATCACATCATATTTATAGTGGTACTTCTAGTATGACCAGATAATATAATTATACCTTTTTTTTTTTTTTTTTGAGATAGTTTCACTTTGTTGCCTTCAGTAGAGTGCTGTACCATCATAGCTTACAGCAAACTCTAGCTCTTGGGCTCAAACAATTATCTTGCCTCAGCCTCCCAAGCAGATGAGACTATAGGCGCCACCACAACACCTGGCTATTTTTAGAGATGGTAGCCCATTCTTGCTCAGGCTGGTCTTGAACCTGTGAGCTCAGGGCAATCCACCTGCTTCAATCTCCCCACTGTACTGGGATTACAGGTGTGAGCCACCGTGCCTGGCCTATATATATTCCTTTTCTATATGTAGTTCAATGAGACTATGAAAACTTCCTTTTCTTTACCTGAATGTCAATGTAAGGTCCTCAGCTGGAACTTTGTTTTGTGGTTCTGGTTGTCCATTCTCTGCTTGCTTACTTGTATTCAGTTTGCTTTTCATGTCCAGAGAACACTGGCTCTCCTTTTTGAAAAAGAAGGAGATAAAATAAAACAAGTTATGTACTTAATGGTCCTAATGAGAGACCAAATACAAATAATATAGACAAACTGATGATACAGAAATCATACTTAGTTTTGTAAAATGGGCAAAGAAACAGGCAGACTAAGAGAGAAATACATAAAAACATAAAGTATAAAACACTTGCTCACTAAGCTGGAAAATAAGGGAAAGAATGCCTCAAAGTGAACCTGAAAAAAGTCTCACAGAAAAAAAAACAATGACTTAGGGGAAAAAACACCCCCCCCTTAAATCCTAATGACTTAGAAAAAGCAAGCCAAAGGACAATAAGTATATATGACATACTTATGAAAGTAGAAAAACTATATACCCTATTTGCTTAGAAAAAATACAGAAGCTATGCAACAAAAAAAGTCAAATACCAAGCAACCCAAGAGAATGGTTTAATCTCCTAAGACTGAAAATTTACTGAAATGGACCAGGTACAGTGGTTCATGCCTATAATCCTAGCACTCCGGAGGGTAAGGTGAGAAGACTACTTACTTAAGGTCAAGAGTTTGAGACCAGCCTGAGCACAGCTGAGACTCCCCCGTCTACTAAAAATATTAAATAGAAAAAAATAGCTGGGGATAGTGGTGTACACCTGTAGTCCCAGCTGTGCCAGCTACTGGGAGGCTGAGGTAGGAGGACTGCTTGAGCCCAAGAGTCTAAGTTTGAGGCTGCTGTGAACTATGATGATACCACTGAACTCTTGACAAGCATGAGCATATCTCAAGGGGAAAAAAAGGTACCAAAGTGAATGTCTGGCTCAGAGCCCGTAGCACCATGGTCATGGTACTGGCCACATATACTGAGGCTGGCAGGTTTGGACCCAGCCCAGGCTAGGTAAGCAATAATGACAATTGCAACAGAAAAATAGCGAGTGTCGTGGGCACTTGTAGTCCCAGCTACTAGGGGGACTAAGGCAAGAGAATTGCTTAAGCCCAGGTTTGAGGTTGCTGTGAGCTGTGATGTCACAGCATTCTACTGAGGGTGACATAGTGAAACTCTGTTTTCAAAAAAAAAGTCTGTGTACTATGAAGCAAATCCTAAGAATATTTATGGATACAGCTCCATAGGACAGAATGTGCAGGTTGTGTCTCATTCCTAACAAGAAGTGGTTCATCAATAACTTAAAGGCTACAAAAACTAAAATGTTACTTGGTAAGTATATCTTTTTACATAACACAATGGTACTGAAAAATAGTAAAGACTATCCCATCTGCTTCCCTAATCAGTATGTTAATCAGAAAGTTAAGAACTTCCATTAACTACCTTGTTTTACCTACAAGTTAATAAAGAATCCTAACACACAAAAACACACCTATACCATATAGGAATAAGGAAAAACAAGCTCTAAATAACTAAAACTCTGCAGCCATGCATTTAGTAACACAACAATATGAAGGATTTCACCTTCCCCCATTGTAACACTTACCATACTCAGCTCTCGGGTTCTCTTCCCAATTTCCCTTTCCACCTGGTGCAGTTCCAAGCTCAACTGCTCACTTGAGATCATTCCAGGCCATTTTGGAGGTGGTGGTGGAGGCTGTGGCTGGCCTGCCAGGGTGTTTGCCTCCCTCTGCAACACCAGCCTGTTACTAACAGCCTAGTGCATAAAGCCAAGCACATACACAACTCAACAGACTTCACACCATGCATAGAATAACCAGGCTCAATTCCAGAACACAGCCTTAAGTAGCTTATCAACCAGGTATATGTAATAAAAATAATGTCACTGTAAGGTACCATCTGTTTCTCTGAGTACCATTTGAATTAAAAAAAAAAAAAAAAGCAAAAAATACGGGATTTAAATTTAGTGAATAGTAATTTCATTTTAGTTATAAATTGTTTTGTTTTGTTTTAGGCAGTCTCACTCTGTTGCCCCAGGGTTGAGTGCCAAGGTGTCAGACCAGCTAATAGCAACCTCAAACTCCTGAGCTCAAGCAATCCTTCTACCTCGGCCTCCCACAGTGCTAGGATTACAGGCATGAGCCACCAGGCCTGGCTTTAAATTGCTCTTTTTAGTTTCTTTTTTTTTTTTT